ATTGCATCTCTGAGTATAACTTCTAATATTGTCACTATAACAACTAGTCTAAAAGTGCTTTAATACAACGGTTACACAACTGGTTCTGTTCTCTCTCAACCATTTGAAGTGCCTCGGGATGGTTATGTTCTGGTGCCGACACTGTCAGGGGCGTGTCATCTAACCTTTCTAACCTAACTAACCAATCATCACTCTTCATGCTGAAATCTAACTAATCAGAGGTAGGAAAGGGGAGGGTGTTCACCCACCTCGGGTAGGGAAAAAAAATTGCATGGCGTCATGTTGCTATGGCAACGTTGTGGGGCAGATATTCAACAGTACAACAACGAGGAGAAACAGCAAGCTCAAATCGTGGCAGTGGCAGTTCGTAGAGGCATTTCTGGTGGCAACAGAAACTGCCACTGATTTGAGGCAGCTGTAACCGGTATATATCTCATTTAATAAATTACAAACAGCTGTGGTTACTCTCAGAGAGTGTGCTGCCTTCAAACAGTTTGGCATCAAAGTCAGCTGCCCTCAAACAGTTTGGCATCAAAGTCAGCTGCCCTCAAACAGTGTGGCATCAAAGGCAGCTACCTTGAAACAGTGCGGCATCAGAGGCCGCTGCCTTTACTTATCAGTGGCAGTTTCTGTTGACACCGGAAGTGCCTCTACGAGCTACCGTTGCCACGATTTCAGCTTGCCCTTATTGACAATGTCTTCATCGGTGGCAAAAGAAGAAAGAAAGAAGAGGCGCACTCTGGTATTGAGGCCGTAAGTTGACATGTCATCAAAACAGGACAGTCATTGTAATCTAAGAGTAGTTTCAATCAGTTATTTAAACGTGTTTCAGATCTTCACGAACAGTAAATGTATTCGCGTCGGGAATGTATGGAGTCAACCAAGGTACCAGACACACCAGCAGCGTGCTGGGTTCGTCCAGCAGGAGAAGTTTCAGTCTTGGCCGCGGAAGCAACGTTCTAGAGAAGAGCGCAACCCACACTCCGAGACAAGATGCTCGGGTAAGTTTACACATGTTTGGAACAGCAGTCTAATGTAGAAGCAGTTACTGTATGTCGGGGATAACAGGATGACTAATTGTCTGCAGGTGTTGGATGAAGAGGACAATGATGTCACTCCTCAGCCGCTGTACCAGTCTGATCCTGTAGCAGTACAGGTCAAAGGCAGCAGGTTCTTTGTGGAGGAAATCTCTGCTGGATCAGCATCAGACCAGATAACAGCCACAGGCAGCTTCACCAGGCTCTTCTCCAGGTGGCACAACAGGATACTTGAATATTTATCACAAGCATCAATTATGAATCAATCAGTGTTGGATTTATTAGTAAGGCAGATGATGCAGTATCAGACAATAGCAATTTTATCTTTAAAATATAATGTGTTGCCACAGGGTTAAGAATGCTCCAAATGAAATGAACACAATGGCACTTTATGTTTTTTTACTTAAAATTGAACTACATTTTTTTTCTCAGGTCACTATTAGGAAGTAGCAGGATATCCAGCCAGTCTACAATAGACTCCATGACTGAGGATATTGAGGAATCATTTTCCAAACGAGACATGCCTGTCAACTTCCCAGGTTCATAACAATATTCACCTTTGAGAAGAATTATACACACACAAACATGCATGCTCACAATGTCCTTGTTTTTGTTCTATTGTTTGTTGGCATAGACGGATTATCATGACCACGGGCCCTAGACACAAACTCGCCACAGGCCCCCGCCTACACACGCAAACAGTGCGCGCGCAGAGGCGCTCTTCCCATTACGCACATAACAATACCAGGCAACACGCACACAAAATTACTGTCATCCAAACAGATCACACAGGTGCTTGTATGCATCAATGCTGTGTCTGAGACAGCTGACTAACTTATCGATAGCCACATTGAATGTTCTATTTGTAATTTGCTTTTCCCATCAAATACCGCATCTTTTTGTGCGCTGTCATCCTCAAATCGTTTGCACTTTCTGGTGCGCTGGAGGTCATATTTGTACGTCTGGCATACGCCTGGCACAGCTAAGTCTTCATTTTCAAAGTCTGTGAAAAGACCTCTCTGTGCTGATGCAAAATCACGCAGCGATATAGGAAGGCGCACAGCTGTCATGAGCTCTATGTCCGCTTTTTGGAGCTGTAAACTTGTCAGTTGGAATCGAGTCAGAATGGATGGAATATGCTGCACCAAAGCGGCATCTTTCGCTTCTTTTTCTTTCCTTTGTTTTCTTTTAGCTGATCCACTGAGCGCCCGCTTCTCCATTTTAAAAACGCAACCCCCAGCGTACGGACATCATTGTGTCATCACACATTACAATTCAAATGATTTTATTATCATACTACATTTTCCAAACCACATTCATTCCAATATTTTATTTTAAATTTTACCAAAAAAAACCCAACAAGTCTGAAGGCCCTGGGCACACGCCCACTTTGCCCATGCGGTAATCCGTCTATGTTTGTTGGTCTTGATCACTTTTCAACTAAATGTAGTATAATACAGTTACATGTTATAATGACTGTGTGTCTGTGGCAGATAGCTTTAACATGCTGTATTTTTTGTTCTTTTTGTTTCATGCGTTTTGTCTCTTGCCAGATGTGAAAGGGAAGAGAGACACTGCGAAAGAATTGGTGACAGAAGAAATGTTGAAAGAAGTCATAGACGTCTACATTTCTGAGACAGACAACATTTCACTGCTGGACATACCCTCCTCTGTTGTGTCAGTGGATGCTGATGATGCAGAAGCTATCATGTAAGCAAAGTTGTCCTCTTCTTGAATTTCCTAACCACTTTTATTCTTTTTTGACTGAAGAAGAGAGTCTATACCATGTGATACATACTAATACAGTACTGCAGAGACATATGTATTAAGAAGAAGAAGAAGAAGAAGATTTACTTTTATTGTCACATTAACACTTTACATGCATACATGAAATTGTTCTCCGCATTTAACCCATCCAGTTGGCACCTGTCGAAACATGCACATGCATAGAAACACACACATTGACAGATGCCATGTACACACATATACTGGAGCGGTGGGCTGCTGTTGCCAGCGCCCGGGGAGCAGATGTTGGGGGGTGGTGCCTTGCTCAACGGCACCTCAGTGGTGGCGAGCGGGAGCGGGGATCGAACCGCCAACCTTCCGGTTATTCCTGATCAGTGACAATTTTCCTATGTTGACACATATAGCTGTGAGTTGAATTGATCAATATTTATCTTTTGGTTTAAGTTGGTGTCATTTTCACCTTGTTATTACAGAGAGAGAAACACTCAGTATGCTGAAGTTTGCAGAAACAGAATGGGCAAGGACATGGAGCGATCAATGCAGACACTGAATGGATCAGTGAAACACAAACATGTCCAGATCGATGGCATGGCAATGGTGGACACAGGTTAGGCTCATTATTTTTTCTCACAGCTTACAATCTTAATGTTGCATTTATTGATTGTTGATATGTTGTGTCTTGTCCAGTGTATCAGAGTCAGAGGCAGGAAGAAATGTATCAATTCCACTGCAGCGATCACATGTA